ATTCTGATCAATTGATCTTGAATCCTGCATTCTAAAAGAATACACCTTAAGCTGAGAATGGACCCGATTAGGCAAAGTCTTTGCCATGTAAAGCCTCTCAAGAGTAGCCCACGCTTGAGCTGCGGTTACGCTCTGATACCACTTGTAAGGATTTTTAACTTATCCTCAGTGCTTAGATCTTAGGATCTATTAGATGATTAGAAACTTAAATGACACAAAAGTTTGATCACCCAGTTCACAACCTCGAACCACTACATCTGGGGTGGGAACCGTCTCCCACAACCTCCACTATCAATCAAAGAATACACAAACGCACTAACCGGCGCTCTCTTTGTGTTCAAGTACAAGTCACAGATTAGAACAATAGAAGAAAAGAAACTTTGAATCACAGCACACGACAAAGAAGACTCGAACTTCCTTCGTTGCTCTCTTGGATTCCTTTTTTCACTTCTCTCTCCTTTGTTCTCTCTCCGTCTATTTCTCTTGCTTGTACTACGTCTCTTTTTTCTCTAGTTTCTATGTTAGGGTTTGCTTCAACTCACGACTTCTTCTTATATCCAACAACCCATAGCCGACTTGTAACGCATAATGACGTACGTGATCCATATATGTTAGGCTTTATGGCTTTGTCTGAAACTTCTGGCCCAAGTGAATAATATTGATCCAAAGCCCATATCTTCACAACTATGTTTTTGATTTCGTTTATCATGTCTGAGTAGTTTTATTGTTGGGACTAAGGGATTTTTGATGGGGTTATATATGTTTGGTGAGGATTCCATTGGCTATTGAGCCGAATCTTAGAACTTTTTCTTCTGAATTCGTTTTTACTGCATGAAAGTAGCGTCATGAACTACGATCTGATCCAGATGCTTGGTGACACGAAAGTGTTCATCCGGTGTCAGATCTAGTTTGGGAGAGCAAAACAAACATAGGAGTGGAAACCTACCTATGGGCGATTTGTGAATGCTGACGAGTCTTAAACATAATGCATCTCTTCTTTTTCAGGGCCAGAGTGGAAACCTACTGGTCAGGGTTGAGAGAGATAGTTGTCTATGATCACGACGGTGGTGTATTCATACGTCCGTGACTCCAGTTCGAAAAGATTAAGCTAAGATCTTTTCAAATTTACTCTCTAGCAATGTTTTGAATCGTTCATACCCCTGAGAAAACTTCCCTGAACCCCGCGCTTTCTTTCTTATAGATTTACAGCGTTTTATTTCAAGCTTTAGTTCACTATTTTCATTCTCTTTCAATCGATTTTTATTAAAGCAATTTGGTTTACCCGTTTTTCTCGTTTTTACCCATTTTCGTTAAGTTTAGTTATTAGGTCATTTTAATTACCGTATTTTCTCTTTAGGATTCGTTTTTACGTTTTAAACACACCACCAAAACCCTCACAAAACTCGCTTGGTTCTAGACTTCCTTACTTTATATTTCTTTCAAAGGCTTTTGTAGGAAAGATCCTCCTTCCCTGTGGATTCGATCCCTAACTACTACAATCGATCAGCTGTGCACTTGCGGCTATTGATTTCATTTAGGGTAAAACTTGACACCCTCACGACACACCACATCAAGTTTTTGGCGCCGTTGCCAGGGAAGGCACGCCTTTTCTTTTCCGCAAAACCCTAAGAAAGGTTGGTAAATCGACTCTAGAACCCCTTTTTCTACATATTTCCATTTTCGGTTATTTTGTTTCCATTTCAGAAGATATGGATCCTATAAATCGAAATCCACACTATGAGGAAGGTTTCTACAACACTCCTCAAGCCACCAGACGCAGAGAAGAACACCAAGCCTGAGATCTGAGCTACATGGATCGATACAGCCAGCCAAATCATCCATACCACCGGCGCAGAGAGTCTGTTCGACGCCGGGAAGATCCTTATGGTCCTCCTCTGACCTACTTCGAGCCACATGCCTATAATCCTCCACTGCAGAACCCTAGTCAGCAAGAGGACAATTTGAGGATCAGCAGACGTTTGGAACGCCTCGAAGGAATGATAAACTAGTTCCTTGATCAGCAGATTCTCACCGAAAACACCTTGCTCAAGAGAATTGATTCAATCTCTGAAGAGTTCAACAGAAAATTCGATGATCTGGCCAATCATGTTCGAGTTCTGGAAGAACAAACCCACAAGGACGCACAAACACTAGCTGGGATGATCCACCAAGTCGCAACAGAGCAGACAAGACAAGGGTATGACATCATACAGAACTCAAGCGATATTGTCGAATCGAAGCAGGAGATCAAAGAAGTCAGAGAATCCGCCTCCTGGTATAGAGAGAAGACTGACGAAGAGTTACAGGAGATCGATCACAGGCTGAACAAACTCGAGCTCAAAGCACGGGAGATTGATGCAAGAATGGAACAGATGCCCAATATTGAGCAAATTGGGAGATTTTCTAAGAAATCTACCAAAGATCCTGATGAAGATGCACAACAACGCCCTGGTATGAGTTCATATGATGCTGGTCTACCAAATAAAGAAGCTGGAGAAGTTCGTGTCAAGTACAAGAAGGAAGAAACGGACTATGAGCAAATTATATCCGGAGCCGCGGGTCCGAGCGTTATGACCGCGGCCAAGGCTCCTTTTCCCGTGGTCGCGACGCCTCTGACCGCAGGAGTTGGTCGTTCAGATTCACCTCCGGGATTTGAGAGAAAAATAATACATCTTTTGTCCCAACTTCAACCTCCAGCACCTAAAAAAGCAACTCAGGAAGAAGAAAACCAAGTTTCAGATGAAGAAACAGATTGGCAGGAATCATTACCTTGTATGATGGCAAAGGAATGTGTTGAAGATTCAGCTGACTCTTCAATTCAAGAAGACCCGATATACATCAAGATAAAGATGCCATACATTGATTCAATCATTGAATACGATGCTGCAGCTTTTGTTTTGTGAATCCTATTCTGCGTTTGAAACACCAGCCAACACCTACAGAGAAAGGCAAGTTCGAATTCTCTATAAGGTCAAGACTACAGGTCAGTTCCTTATCTCTTCTTCTATTAGAGGAGAAATGTTTAAAAACGTGTTTTGTGATTCTGGAGCTTGTCTTAACGTGATGTCCAAGACAATTGCTTTGAGACTTGGTATTAACCACCTACGCAGGACTAGAGCAAAGATTAGTCTAGCTGATGATTCCAATGCAACGCCTCAAGGAATAGTTCATGAAATTTCTTTGAGAATAGGAGATTGCATAGTGCATGTTGACTTCTACATTGTCGAGACGAGAGACGCAACATATCCAGTGATTCTCGGATGGTCTTTTCTAGCAACTTCCGGAGCTATAATGGACTGGCCAAACTGGAGGATTTCATTTGCAAATATCGACAACGATGTCTTCACAGAAGCTGTCCTATACAACAGCAAAGCAGAAAAACGTTCTGCAACAGAAGAGTTTGAAGAAAAACTTTGGAGTGACGAAGAACCTGCTAGGCAAAACAAGGAGATGTCGAAAAAGACTTGTTTCAGGACAAGGTCTTCTTCATTGGACTAAGCCACGTCCAACACCAAAAGTCGAGCTAAACGACTTAAAACAGAAGCGCTTAATGGGAGGCAACCCATTTAGGTATTGTTTTCTTTAGGATTTTTCTTTCTTTTTCTATTGATCTTTTCCTTTTTCTTAGTTTCAGGTGTTTCTTATAAAACAAAAAAGCCAAAAAAATCAAAAAAACCCGAAAAAAAAAACAAAAAGAAGGATGGTCCCTGATTGCTCGGCCCAGCAGGAACCAAGGAGAAGCAGGAACAGGCCGCGATATAAGCCCCTGCGGTCGCAGATGCTTTGACCGCGGGAAATGCATGATCGACCGTGGCCATGTCTTTCTGACCGCGGCCGAGCACCGGTTTGCCGCGGTCGCGTGGCTCCTGACCGCAGCAAATGGTCGTTGAGATCAAACCCGACCCCAAACCACCCACTTCACCTCATTCCACCTCACCAATCCCCACTCCACCTCATTCATCATCCTCCACCACCTTCACCACCACTTATCACCTTCCAAAACCTCTTCGAATGAATCCGGTCCATCACCACCAGCATCCCGGATCTAGGTAAGTTCTCTTTGGCCTTACCAATTCGATTATCTATGCATTTTTCTCATCCAATCTCGACTTGTTTCACACTGAATACAGTGTGATTTAAGTCTAGGGGAGGATTTCATCCCTTTCTAACCACTTTTCTTTCATGAGTCTTGCATTATCTACACTTTTTGCATTTTCCTTAAAGTTTTTCAAAATCGGTTTTCAAAACAAAATACGTTTTAAAAGGGAATGGTGAACATGAATCAATGATAGTTGACTGTGTGCTTTTAGACTGTTCCTAGTGACATGCTCATTCATGATTTAGGACTAGACTAGGCGGTAGCAAAGCACATTTGAAACGAAGTACACTAACTCTGTTTTATTTGGACTTAATTTGGACTTAATTCTCTCATTGATGCATTAGACCAGGGAAACGAATCATACATTCAGGACTCCTTTACCCTTTTGTTGATCCTGAATGGCTAGTTCATCTTTAGCTAGTTCCCCACCTTAACCAGTCCTCTTTCAAACAACATGCACCCTTGTTTTCTATTGTCTTATATGCAGATAAGTGCAAAAACGTTGGAGAGAAAGAGGAACGACGCATTTTACAGTCACCAAGGACAGAGACCTGTGATGTGCCGGAAAGTTCCCGGAAGGATTCAACACAAGAGGAAGCTCAGTTTGCCGACCATAAATCTCAAATTTTGGTACAATCTCGTCCTTTAATCTCTCTCTTTAAAAAGTATTTTTTTTTTTAAAAAAAAAAAAAAGGAAATAGAAGCCTTAGAGAGTCTAGAGAGGTCGAATTTTAAGTCCCAAGGCAACTGGAGTTCGATTTTATGGAGTTTTGGAGATCATTTTCTGATTTCCGGAAAGAATCTAATTCTGGGGGAATAGCTGTTTACAACAAAGGAGGAAGGATTATGCAACAACATTTGGCAAGAAGAAATGACTGAAAATTGCGGTCCTTAACAAGTCTTTATCTCTCTTGCGGTTTTGCATATTATCTTGCATCCTCCAGATTCATCAGGTAACCCAAAACACTTTTACTCCACCACTTAAACAGCCCTTTTAATGTCAAACGCCGTCTACCCTGGATGATCTCTTTAATGAGAACTTATTATTGAACTTAATGAATGTAGAGAGCTAGTTGACTGGAATCAAAATTTAGATTGTTTAAGTTTTGCATGACGGAAAAAGTGGACTAGTATCTTTTGTGTATTGGTGAGAATTTTGTAGACTAAGTTGAGGATTGATGCACGATCTTTGCTCCTAGTTTAGGAGTTCATGTCTCTGAGATTTGTGCATTCTCTATTTTTGTTTTCACTTAACCAGTTTAGGTTTTTGCTTCGTTTGAGGACAAACTAAGGTTTAAGTCTGAGGGAGTTGATAACACCGTTTTTTGACCACTTTTATGGATCGTTTTGAAATACTTTTTCTATGTTTTTAATTGCTTTTAAGTACTTTTGGGAAAAACTTAACAAAATGGATAGAAAAACCATTTAAACCTATTTGTACATAAAGGATGTGAACTCTCCATGCCCAATATCTTAGAAGAGATGGGCGAATTGAAATATCTGTATTTGCCGAGGAGTATACATGATATGGTGAAGATGGCTTTGGGTAACTTAGTTAAACTGGAGACTTTGAAGAATTTCTCCACAAAGCATAGCAGTGTGACGGATCTCCAAGGTATGACACGGCTCAGAGTCCTCTCTATCAATTCTATCGAAGGCCAAGGGTGTAATATGGATACTCTATCTTCATCACTAAGTGAACTGAGACACCTTGAAAATCTTACTATAAGCGATAAAACCTTGTTGGCAAGTGGGCTTGTTCTGAATTACATGAATCTCAAACAGCTAACATTGAAAATACATATGCCGAAGTTACCTGATGAGCAACACTTGTCTTCTAATCTTACAACCATATATCTAGAGAAATGTCGTTTGGAAGAGGATCCGTTGCCAATTCTAGACAAGTTACCCCAATTGAAAGAGGTTCGTTTATGGAGGAATAGTTTTTGTGGGAAGAGAATGGTTTGCTCGCGCGGTGGGTTTCCTCAGTTGCAGAAATTATTATTCTTTAAGTTAAAGAAGTGGGAAGAGTGGATAGTAGAAGAAGGCTCCATGCCCCTTCTCCAAAATTTGGAGATTTGTTACTGTTTAAAGTTAAAAGAGCTTCCTACTCCGATTCGTGACTTCCTACTACGATAGAAGAAGGATCTGACTTTTCATAACATGGGAGAGGAATGGAAGGAGAGATTGTCGGAAGGAGGAGAAGATTATTACAAAGTACAACACATCTCTTCTCTTACATTCAGATGAAGCGATTATAGTAGGAAAGAAGGGGAAATAAATCCCTGTTTGTGTTCAAACATGGATTTAAAAAAAGAATTTCCATGGTTTTTATGATATTTTTCTAGCGACAAGTAATGTTATGCTGAATTTTGATTGATTTTCTGTTTCAATCTTATGGTTGCTGGTTTTTCTAATCTATTTTATATTATATAATGAAAAAGTTTTCATTCTATTTAGAGTGTCCACATTGAAAAAAAATTAATGACTCAATTAATTTACATATTTTAAAATAATTATCATTTTTTCATTTTAAAACAAAAAAAAAACAATAATACTAAAATTAATGATTCAATCCATTCACACATTTTCTATAATTATTATTTGTTATTAAAAATAATGATAAAAGTTAGAAAAACAAAAAGAAAAGGTTAGAGAAAACAACAACGATGAAAAAAAGTTGAAAGATACTGAAAAAAATGTGTTGATGTGCCTTGAATCTTGAGCGTAGAAGTTTTCTGGTGTTGATGTGTGCAGGCTGCACGATCAATCATGTAGCATGCGTGATCAATCATGCAGCATGCGTGATCAATCATGCAGCATGCGTGATCAAGCATGCAGGTTACTTACAGCATTTAAGTTTACATGCTGCGTCTTGAGTATGTCTACATGCTACATGCTGAAGCTGATGTTAAGATCTACATGCTGTGTAAGCTGATGTTAAAGACTACAGCTTGTGTAAGCAATGTAGAAGTCTGCGTGCATTTGGACCGTTATTTTTGCATGAAGGTTCTGACATGGACCTAAGTGAACGAGCCCAACTGCGTTTAGAATTAATTAGGGTTTATGCTATAAATAAGTATGTTAACCTAATCTCTGATGTATTTTGAAACTTTCTATCTCCGTAGTAAAATCAGTCTCCTTTGCCCGTGGACGTAGCCAACACATTGTTGGTGAACCACGTTAACTCTGTGTGCAATCTTTATGTTTACTGTTTTCTTCTTGCATATGTTACAACAAACTGGTATCAGAGCTCCAGGTTGTAGGAGTTTTCGTGTCTGGTGAGAAGATGTCTGAAATAAACGTAAAGATCGACAAGTTCACAGGAAGAAACAGTTTCAGCCTCTGGCAAATCAAGATGCAAGCGTTGCTGAAGCGACAAGGTTTGTGGGCGCCACTAGTTAAAAATAACAAGGGTGACGCTGCTGAGATAGCAAGTCTGGAAGAGAAAGCACACGCATCAATTTTGTTGTGTCTTGCAGATGATATCATCGTCGAGGTTGCAAGTGAAACGACTGTGGCTGGATTATGGGCGAAGTTAGAGACATTGTATATGACAAAGTCTCTAACGAACAAGCTGCTTCTGAAACAACGTCTTTTCGGGCTAAGAATGCAGGAAGGTACGCAACTCAGGGATCATTTAGATCAGCTAAACACGTTACTACTAGAATTACGTAATATCGATGTTAAGGTGGAGGATGAGGATGCTGCGCTGCTTCTGTTAGTATCACTACCGCTATCATACGAGAACTTTGTGAAATCATTTATAGCCAGTAAAGATATTGTATCTCTGGAAGAGGTCTGCGACATCAGGCATCTGGTACAGTTGCAGATAATCAAGCTTCCGGACTGCTTGTTAGTGGTGGAAATAGCAGGCAGAAGAATGTAAGGAGAACATTCTCGAAATGTCCTAAACCAGATGATATCTGCAATTCCTGGCTTAGAAAGAAAATTTTGAGCCGAGGCTGTAAGTATTGCATGCTACTTGATAAATCGTGGACCACACAGAGGTATTGAATGCAAAACACCAATTGAGATGTGGACAGGTAAACCTGCTGACTACACTTTTCTGAAAGTTTTTGGTTGCACGGTTTATTACCACGTAAGTGAAGGAAAGCTTGAGCCAAGAGCAAAGAAGGGAATACTTGTGGGCTATGGAGATAGAGTCAAAGGATACAGGATTTTGTCTCCAACACAAAGGAGAGTTATTACAAGCAGAAATGTAGTACTTGATGAAAGTTTTATGCTCATATTCTCAGCAGAGCCTACAATTTCCGCAGAGAGTGGTAGTGTTGACAAGCAGGTGGAGCAGGAGGTTGAACGTGAAGAGAGCGATCTGCAGAAACACAAAGAGGGTCAAGGGAAACAAGTAGAAGATGTTCAACCAGAACCAACTCTATCAGAAACTGAACAATCTGGAACTACAGCACGCAGTATTGCCAAAGACAGACCAAAGAAGATAGGAGTTGGACTGCCAGTGAGATATGGTTTTGAAGATATGGTCGGATATGCACTACAGGTCGCTGAAGAGGTGGATACTTATGAGCCTTCTACGTACAGAGAAGCCATATCATGTATTGATGCTGAAAAATAGGTATCTGCAATGGGAGACGAGATGCAGTCTCATGATAAGAATCAGACATGGGATGTGGTCGCACGACCACCAGGGAGAAAGATTGTTACTTGCAAGTGGATTTTCAAAATAAAGGAAGGGATTTCACCTGCAGAAGGAGTCAAGTACAAAGCTCGGGTTGTTGCGAGAGGTTTCACTCAATGAGAAGGAGTTTACTACAATGATATTTTCTTACCAGTAGTCAGACACACTTCAATCAGAGCGCTGCTTGCAATAGTGGCATGTCAGGATCTGGAGCTTGAACTACTTGATGTGAAGACTGCTTTTCTTCATGGAGAGTTGGACGAAGAGATATACATGACTCAACCAGAGGATTTCGAAGTTCCAGGGAAGGAAGAATATGTTTGCAAGGTAAAAAAATTGTTGTATGGTCTTAAGCAGTCTCTCAGACAGTGGTATAAGAGGTTTGACAGCTACATGAACAAGTTGGGATACATCAGGAGCCTTTATGATTGTTGTGTCTACTACTGCAAGCTGAAAGATGGATCACATATTTATCTGGTGCTTTACGTGGATGACATGCTGATAGCTGCAAGTAAGATGTGTGACGTTCAGAAGCTGAAGGATCTGCTTAGCGCCGAATTTGAAATGAAAGATCTGGGTGCAGCGAAGAAGATTATAGGAACGAAAATCTTTAGAGACAGAAGACAGAAAAAGCTTTTCTTGTCACAGAAAACCTACATCGAAAAGGTTTTAGCAAGGTTTGGAATGTCTTCACCTAAACCTATTGATACTCCAACCGCAGCAAACATTCATCTCACTATGTTTTCCATTCAGTCTGAAGAAGAAATCGAATATATGTCTCGAGTTCCTTATGCTAGCGCTGTAGCTGGCCCAGAGCATAGGCGAGGTATGCGACGGATTAGGGCATCCAATTTACGGAGGCATATTTTGGTTATTTTTTTTATAAAGAGTGTATATAAAGAAACAAAATTTAAAAGATTTTTTATAAGATAATAATATTTATAAGTTTTTTTTGTAAAGTTTATAGACTTTTCTCAAACAAAATATTGGTTAAGGGCAACAAATTATATTTTAGAAAGAAAATAGAATTTGCCGATTTGAAGGTTTCTTTAACGAATGGTATGCAGACATAGTTGGTTATGAACTGTTTATGGAATTGAAAATTCACCGAGAATTAATACCAAATGAAGTTGGGAAGCTTAATGAAGTGCTTGATTTTTTGAAACAAATGGAGGATTGTTATGAAAACACAGAAGTTTCATATCGCATATTGTTGACAGTTTTGGTATCGGTTGGTATTGATGAAAGAAGTTTTTCGAAGTTAAAGCTGATAAAAAAATATTTGCGATCTACCAAAAAAATTAAATAGGCTAGCTTTGTTATCTATTGAGACAGCTATAATTGAAAAACTCGACTATGAGAGTTTAATAAACGATTTTATATGGAAAAAACCATATTTTAATAATAAAATATTAGTTTTATTGTGTTTTTTGTATATTTTATAAACTATTTATGGAGTTGAAAATTTTTATAAAATCTTAAATTATTTTTCTATTTTGTATTATTTTTATTCTGAAAAAAAATATTTAAAAAACATTCTTTAAATTATAGACTAGAGCATTTAAATTGATTAGTCCGGAATTTCAAAGTATGCTATGGTTTACACACGACCAGATTTAGCACATGCAGTCAGTATTGTTAGCAGGTTCATGGGGCATCCAGGAAAGGAACACTGGCTGGCTGTTAAGCGGATTTTTCGATACCTTAGAGGTACATCTGATGTTGGTCTCATATATGGGGGTGAGAGTCCGTGTCAAGTGACAGGCTATTCTGATTCTGATTATGCTGGAGATGTAGATAGCAGGAGATCAATGACATGCTACGTGTTCACTCTAGGTGACTCTGTTATTAGTTGGAAAGCGACACTATAGCCTACGGTGACTTTGTCTACTACTGAAGCAGAGTACATGGCATTGACAGAAGCAGCTAAAGAAGGTATCTGGTTAAAGGGGCTAGTTAGTGATCTGGGTCTGCAGCATGATCAGACTATCGTATACTGTGACAGTCTGAGTGCGATTTTTTTAGCTAAAGATCAAGTTCACCATGAAAGAACCAACCACATTGACGTAAGATATCATTTTCTTAGAGGTGAGAAGAGGATCAATGTGAAAAAGATAGGAACTTCTGATAATCCTGCGGATATTTTCACGATGGCAGTTCCTCAAAGCAAGTTCAAACAGTGTTTGGACTTGTTGAACATCACAAGCTGTTAATCTGGCCCGAGTGTGCGTCTGGCTCCGCAGGAGCATCTGAGCCCGGTGAAGGTCGTCTGGCTCCGTAGGAGCATCTGAGTCCAGTTATGGACATCTGGTCGGAAAGGAAATCTGATTTTCTGATTGTTGAAACATCTGGCACATCAAGCACATTAAGTGTGCATGTTTGGCATTCTGAGGCAAAGGAGAGGTTTGGTACTTCTGACACTATGATGGTGCATCTGATACGTCTGTCTGTAGGATTCAATTCAAGGTAGAGATTTGTTGATACGCCTTGAATCCTAATGCGTAGAAGCTTCCTAGAGGATTCATGTCAAGGTAGAGATTTGTTGATATGCCTTGAATCCTGGAGCGTAGAAGCTTCTTGGTGTTGATGCGTGCAGGCTGCACGATCAATCATGCAGCATGCGTTATCAAGCATGCAGGCTACTTGCAGCATGTTAAGTTTACACGCTGCGTCTTGAGTATGTCTACATGCTACATGCTGAAGCTGATGATGAGATCTACATGCTGTGTAAGCTGTTGTTGAAGACTACAGCCTGCGTGAGCAATGTAGAAGTCTGCGTACATTTGGGCCGTTATTTCTGCATGAAGGTTCTGACATGGGCCTAAGTAAACGAGCCCAATTGCGTTTAGCAT